CTTGACTTTCTCTCTTACTTTGCAAATATTGGTGGAATATGAAGTTTGCTCAAGTTTCTCTAAAATGTGTGTTTGGATCACCTGGGATTTGAAATTGAAATTCTTAATAGGGCTGCAAATCAGCCAATGCCCACCAGTCCAGGGAGCCCCTCGGGCATTGGTATAAAGGCCTCTGCGGTCAGCTGAAATTGAGAAATGCAGAATCAGGGATCTGTAGATACACTGTGAGGCTGCAACGTTAAGCAGGCAGGAGGAAAGGGTTTGATTATGAAGGGTATGGTAGAAGGAGATGCGCAGTGTTTGGTATAAGGAAGGAGCTGCCCGAGTCAACTGGCGGTGACCTGGAGGGAAGGTAGGCGAGCCTGCAATGGTGATTCAGAGGGTGGGATATGTGGAGGTGAGGATGCAAATAGCTGATCCCCAACAGAGAGGCCTGGCTGGAGACAATGGGGCCCCTGGGGTTTACACACAGAAATTCCAAAGATTGGCGAAGAAAGCAAGGTAGGGACCCAGCCTCGAGGCAATGGAGAGTGGGACAAGTAATCTAGGCAATGGCTCCAGCCCGGACCTTGGAGCTCATGTGTCCCAGGGAAGCCTTGGCCTTGGAAATGAGAACAAAAAAATGGTTCTAAACCAGGGGCAAGGGTCAAGGTTACCTTGATGCTGAATTCTCTTAGTTGACTCTAAGAACAGGATTGTCCTGAACTCAGGTTGGGCAATTTCTTAGTCTGCTTGGGCTGCTGTAAAAAAATACCATAGACAGAGTGGCTGAAGCAACAGACACTTATTTCTCACAGTTCTGGAGGCTGGGAAGTCCAAGGTCAAGGTGCCAAGGATTTGGTTCTAGGTGAGAGCTCTCTGGTTTGTAGGCAGCCTCCTTTTTGCTGTGTCCTCATGAGGTGGAGAGATAGTGACTTCCTCTTCTTATAAAGCCATTGATCCCACCCTCATTATGTCCTCTAACCTAATTACCTCTCAGAGGCCCCATCTCCAAAGATGATCACATCAGGGGTTAAGAGTTCAACAGATGGATGTGTGCGGGACACACATTACTCCATAGCAGGTGTTAAACTGGTTCCCAGTGGTGGTGATCCTGTGGCCCCAGCTCCAGGGAGAGGAAAGAAGTAGGAACAAGAGGAAGAAAGTAAAAGAAAAGGAAGTCATTGTCCTTCCACAGGGAAGTGGAATCCAGTGCAGTCCTTTTGTGGGTCATTTTGACCACCCCATGGCTGGAGCTGGTCTGTCAAGAAAGCTTGACAAAGGTGCCAATCCCAGTGATGCTCCATGATGTGAAATCTTTCCAGAAGACACAGGATTTCTCTCCCCGAAGAGACATACAACAAGTATAAAAGCCCCAGAGAGGCTGCAGATACCAATTCCTCAGGTCAAACTGGGGAGCGCAGGCCAGGCTGGCTCAGGAGGCGCCCGCTGCAGAGGGGCAGAGAATTGTGAGCTGGGGGCAGGGTGATGCTCACAGGCATGATTTTGTTCGGCCTTCTCAGGGAGCTTCCCAGCCCATAGTGGGCCGCCCAGTCAACATGGTGCTGACTTTCCAATGAAGGTGTTACAAAGACAATCAGGTTCCAATTACAGGACTGTGTGATGAGTGGATGAGCAGCTCCTTGCTACCCTCTCTAGCCCTGGCACCTTGACCATTCCTCTGTCCCTTGGTCAAGATCCAAGAACCCTTGCCTCACCTGGCAGCTGAGCTATTCTGGCAACAGACACAATGGGAAAAACGTAGGCTTTAGAGTCAGATTGCCATTCTAATGTTGGCTCTCCACCAATTAGTTGTAAACCCTTGGAATACTTACATAATCTCTCAGCTTCAGGACATTAATTTATGTAATGGGAATAACAAAACCTGTTTCATAGAATTTTAGTAAAGATTTACAACAAAAATAACAACACTTATTGGGCACTTACTATGTTGCAGGTACTGTGCTAAGTGACTTATGTAAATTATCCTGTCTAAATGGACTGGAGGCTTCCTTTCAGTCCCCTTGGTTTTCTTCGCCTGAGAAGGGCCAGAAATTGCACCTGGGCCCACCGGGTAATAGCTGCACAATTGCAGGCCTCATGTCCTCAAGGCCGTGGACAGTCCCTAAGGGGCTGGCCTGCACATCTGATGCTGTTCCATGAGGCCACATGAGATGGTCCCGCAGGGCTATGTTCTTATTCTGACTTTCAGAAATCACTGGCAACTGTACCGGGCCTTGAACACGTACCCAAGGGCCTCACCCTGCTACACAAAGACCACTGTGACCTGGTTTGTCTTGACTTTTCATTCCTAACTCCCACCAGGCTCCAGGAATGAGCAGACACTGCCTTGCCCCGTCTTCACCACTCTGTTTCTGTCGACCCTTCCCTTTCTCCACCTGGAAATCATCCTCAATAGTCAAGGCCGTGTTTGAATCAGGTTTTTCATGGAGCCGTCCCGGATGCTCTTGGCCAGAACCCAGTCACCCCTTCCTCTCCTGCTTTCTTCACCTATTTTATACTTCTCTTTTGGTCCTTACCAAATTTTGTCTTATCTCAGCCATTTGTGGGTGAATCTGCGCACCCCCAGTGACCCTCATCCCGTGGACAGAGCAAATAGTGTCCTATTCCTCCTCTCATCCTGCCCTCATCTCTAAGAGTGGAACCTAGAAGAAGATACAGTAAATGTGTGTGAAACTGCAGTGAGTTAGACTGAGATCAGCCTCCGCGTCTCCTCACATGCAGCACAGCCTTGGAGGTGGAGGAAGAGACCATTTTCGAAGGTCCTGGGGCTGGAGGGGCAGAGCCCAGGATGGCCTCGGCTTCCTAAAGGAGATGAGAGCCCTTGCAAGTCCACTGTCTCTTCTAGGCAGCAAAGACCAAGGATGCTGCAGTCCAGGTTGGCTTTGGGCAATGAAGTGGACTTATCATCAAGACTTATCACTTTCCTTTCTAGGTCCATTTTCCTGACTCCAGGACCCCCGTAACCACCCCCTGCTCTCCAAATGCCCCTTCTCACAAGGCTTCCTGAGCAGTGCCCGAAGCTCTGAAACTTGCCATTTGCTCTGATACTAAAACCTACTGAAAACTTGCTTACCCTGAGTTGCATCTCCTGAGAGCTTTATTTTGTATGGAACTGGATCTGACAAATGCGGCCAATCAATTGGCAGCTACAGTCTCTATGTAATACTCTTTCTCATGAGGGTATGCAAGAAAAGCCTTGGAGGGAACTTAGTCCCTCCAATGATTTCCCCTCACCTCCAAGATCTCCCCAAGGGGCCACTGTAACTGCTAGACTGGGAGAAGAAGAGGGGACAATGCCTGCATTTGAAGGGCAGAGCTCCCCCACTCCACATTCCCCTCGCTTGTCCATTTCAGGGCTTTGCCCTTCCTGTCTGTGACACAGACTGCTCTGCCCCCAGAGTCCAAGCCAGGAGCTGGAGCAGAGCCTGGTGCTCTCAGACAGAATGCACATTTCCTCCCCTGGCTAGTCTCCCGTGGTTTGGACAGATCTGCCATTTCAACTACTCTCTATATTATGTCTTTTCGAGAAAAGATGAAATTTGGTTTGAATCCCATCCTCCTTTCCTCTGACAATAACCACCTGAATAATACCCTCTAAGTAAAAAGGGTGTATTTGCTATGTAAACTCAACTTCAAGACAAGTCTCTTATTCACTTCTTCCCCATCTGTCCAAGCAGACTGTTGCCTCAAGCCTCTGTCATCTGTAAATCTAGCACTCAGGAGCTAGCCATCCCCAGGGCGCTGACCTAAGAGAGTGAGTGAGGTGGAGATTTCCAATCTGAGACAGGCTCACGGGTGGGGGTGGAGACTGCAATAGAGGCCAGAGAGGGTTGCCAGAAATTGAGGAGAAGGTGCTAAGGAGGAATGAAATGTACAAAGAAACGGAACATGGAAGCTTCCGCAAAGATGACAAACAAGCCCTCGAAGCTCGCCTGGGCCCCGTCTTGGCGAGTGTGCCTCTCCGTGGCACCACCCCTCGAGAATGGCCAGCTTGCAGCCAGAACCAGTAGGGTGCTCCTCGAGGCTCCATGCTCAGCCTCTCTCCCACCCTTGCCTCCCCCTCTTCCGCTGGCAGCTCATTTGCTTTCAGCAGCCTCTCATTTCCCTGTGTTGGTTTAGTCGCAGGCCCAGACCCTGTTCAATATTTGTCTCCCAGCTCCGCTATTTGCTCTCATTTCCATATGTTTAACATACATATTAGCTGCCTCCTGTCTTGTCCCATAGCTGTCACCGGCTCTTTCATCCTCAGTCTGGATCCCAGGGCCACCGGGCACCGCAGTTTCTGCTGCTTCCCTCTCATCCCACCAGGATAGTATGGGGGTGCTGCAGTCTAGAGCTGAGTGATTTGTGCCCATTCCTCACCTCCGCCTCCACACCCCAACACACAGAGGGGACCCGAGTCTGGCCAGCTGGTCAGAGCTCTTCCCTGGGCTTCTCCACATCCTCTCAAGTTGCTCTTTCTTTCTTCTGGCAACATAATATTGATTGATATTCTAGAACTAAAATTTCTCCCTTAATGAGAAATCAGGACAAGAATACAATTAGAAGTTCTGAAAATGGACTCTGAGGTCCTATTCTGAGCACCCCTTCCCTTACCACAGCCATCAGATGCGAAACGCATTTTATCCTCCCCACACGGTCTCAGCCAAGCTGCCCTCCTCACAGGAGCTCAGCATCATCAGCTCTTTAAAACAAACCTCAGAGGTCCTCTAGCCCAACCACCAAGCTATGGCTGGAGTACTCCTTCAGCTTTCTGTCCAGCATTCCTTGAGCTCTTCCTGTGCCCAGGCCCAGGGCCAGGTGCTGGGGATGTGGGATGACAGAGGAATAGGCCTTGCCTGGAAGGAGCTCACATCTAATGCAGGAGGTAGAGACACTAACTACAGTGCAACGTGGCAAGTTTAAAACAGGTATGAAGGGGCTACCAAAAGAGGACCCCAACTCAACCAAGGGTCTCAGCAAAGAGTTACTGCAATCCTTTAGTAATTGATTATCTCATTGCTTCTCGGCCTTTTGGCTAAGATCAAGTGTAGTAATTGATTATCTCAAGTTAAGGAGAACTCACTACATCCCAAAGTCTCATTCTTTGTCTGAGTCTTGACACACATACTTCTTTCTGTGAGTATGTCCCTATTGCCTGCAATTGGCAATCTAAACATTCAGTGAAAATCTTCATTAGCTTTGAATGAACCATGTCCCTCAGCCTCAATGTCGCCATCTGTAGAAAGAAGAGAATCCAACTCAGTGATTTCTAGAACCCCCAAATCCTGTTGGTTCCACAGCAGGTTGTTTGCATCTCCATCCTCATTGCCATTTTCTAAAGATCGGCTTGGTCTCCTTACCCTTGCTCTTCAATACGCTCTAGTTTCTTCTCCATTGAGCCCACATCCACGCTTCTGTGTTATCTTCCTCAAAATCCTGCTAATCATGTCATCCTGACTCCCCAGTGCCTCTAGGATACAATCTATACTATTTAGCTTCAGATGAATTCAGGGTCTTTTATAGTGTGGCCCCAACATAGCTTCCTCCTGACCTCTGCCACCATGATAAACTTCTCACAATTTCCCAGACATGCGAGTCCATGTGTGCCTGTGAGTGCACTTTCCCCAAAACTTGAAGTGCTGCCACCCGTCTTTATCAACCAACAAACTCCTATTTATCCTCAAAGCCTAGTTCAAAGCCTGTGTGTAATAAGCTCAAAGCCTGCTGTCCTGAGCTTGTTGTTCACACTTCCGTCACGGTGGTAGCCACCCTCCAAGTCATTCCACAGTCATCCTCATGTCCTGGGGCTCGTGCTCTTGTATGACCCCATCCACACTGGATAGGCTGACCTGTGCAGCCTGCAGGATGTGAGGTGACAATGTGACTTCCCAGTCTAGGTTATAAAAGACAACAACTTCCGCTTGCCTGCTCTTGGATTGCTCACCCTGGCGAAGCTAGCAGTCAGGTCGTGAGACCTGCGGGCAGCCTGTGGAGAGGCCCCAGAGGGTAAGAATAGAGGCTTCAGGTGACAACCACAACAACTTGACAGCTGTGCGATCCATTCTCTCAAGTGATTCTTTCAGTCCCAGTCAAACCTTCATATGACTCGACCCCAGCCAACATCTTGACTACAGCCTCACGAGAGACCCGAACCAGAACCGCCCAGGTTAGCCACTACTGTTCCTGACCACAGAAACTGTGATGATAAATGTTCATTGGTATTATAAGCCACTAGGTTTGGGGCACTTTATTACTCAGTATTAGATAACAAACGGCTTTTGCCCTATTGAACTAAAATGGATCATTTTACAGGCATCTCTGTCCAGTCTGTCAGCGTCTTTGTGAACAGGGCCATATGTCTTTCATTCCTAGATCTATAGTGCCTAGCAAACTATGTGATGCGAGAAGTAGGCTGTAAATAAATTTTTGTCTAATTTATTAATTAATCACTAATTTTCTAAAACTATAAATATCTAGTCTATGTTTTTCTTTGTTCAACTTCTTGATGCTTCCAACTGTTTCTCTTTCAGGATCATTCTGTTCCCTACCCCCACCTCCATGCCCTATAGGGCTTTGTATCATGTTTGCAGTTTGTAAAAGACATTTTATCTGCTGGTTCCTTTCTACGATAATGTTGACAGAGAAGGTATTATTATTAGGCATGTTTTACATATAAGTCAATGGAAGCATAAACAGGTTAAGTTGCTTGCATAGTTTGTAAGTGGCAGAACCCCAGTCTTCCTGAGCAGGAGGCCGATTCTGCATCCTTTATCCTAGCCTGTCTGCAGTATGTAAGTGGGACGCCACAGCGCCTCTGCTGCTCCCCCCGACAACCCCTTAGGGGGTCTCTGAGGAGCCCAGCGTCCTCTTCCTGGATAAGGGTGAGGGTAATCATTACTGCACAGAAGGGTCTCCTGCCTGCTGCCCCGTCCTTCCCAGGCCAGCAAGCCCAGCCACGCTGGGCATGACAAGACAGAGTCTGAGGCCTGGGCTGAGCCTTGGTCTTCTGGCTCCTCACTGTCACCAGCGAACACTGCTGGAGCCCATTAGCCTGCACACACTGCAGGCCTCCCGCAAGGGCAATAGCGGCATTTGCTTAGAGAGATTATCTGGAAAATGACCTCTCTCTCAGGCGTCCAGAAATAGTTGATGATGTTATCTTAAAAAACAATTTTACAACCAAAACTTAGAATAAAGCTGAGTGTCAGGAAATGCCTACACGCCTGCCTCCGAGGCAGACCGGAAGGGTTTCTAGAGAAGCAAAGCCATGTGTGATGTGTGATGATGGTTAGCAGGCAGAGTTGCAGGCCACAGGCCTGAGTGGCCAAAGACCTTGCTTTCGAGTCCCAGCTCTGGTCGCGTGGCAGTATGACGACACATGAGGCACTCCGCCTCTTTGAATCACGTTTTTTCCATCTATGAACTGGAGGTCATACTACTTTCCATGTTAAGTTACAAGATTAGTGAGAGGATAAGTAAAAATAACACTTGTCATATACCACACTTCTAATATGCACCACACACTGTCCGAGGCATTCTGCACCCTCAGCTCATCCGCAGTTCGCAGCACTCCTATGAAGCAGGCATTTTCCCTGCTTAACCATGAAACAGACACCTGGGGAGCTTGACGGAGGGCTCACCACACAGCAAAGCAGTGGAGAGCTGGCGTGCAAACCGTAGCTCTTCCCACGACACCGTAATGTCAAGTAAGAGAATATATCCTAACATGCTTTAAATATTCATTTGCACATTCTTTCAAAAAAGTGAGATGCTGTAAAAACAGAGACTCTCACCATCAGAAGGAGCCCAGCATTGGGAATTGGGCTTGTGAAGCGCTGTTCTCAGGGCCCCTCTCCACATGTCAAGGCAGACGATGCTCACAGGCAGAGGGAGGTAGTCCTCCCCTCATCCTGCACTTCTGCAAATGAAGGTGATGGAAGGACAGACCCCCTTACACCGTCCCCAGACCAGCTGAAGCCCTCTCTTACCTGCCCTTCTGCCACTCTGCCTGGACCCTACACCGACGGCGCAGGGAGCAACCAAGAGGCATGGCCTCTCTGGAAAGCTACAGATGGCTCATTTCTGCATTCTCTCCATGGCTGAAAGTACCACACATGAATTTTTTAAAGTAGTATTGATTTAAATTGATTCTATTTAAATTTTCTTTTATTTTAAAGGTTTTACAATGCCTCTCTGGATAACTGCAGCCTCTCTATGTGTTGGAAACAGACTTGGAATCCTGTATTGAGCACCATACAATTCCTGTAGGTCGTCATAAAGTTTCTTTTTTCTAACTCTGAAATGCTTTATCCTGTCAGCTCCCACTCTCCTCTTGTGGACTTTGTGAGCGGCACAGAGGCCCAAACCACACCTACTTACTGCTCAGGACAAAACCCAGAACTCAGCCTTCCACCTGCCCCACAGTTTTCTCCCGACCCAGATTTCAGAGCTCTCTGTACCCTGCTTGTGTGTCAGGGCTCCCAGACAGAGAGCAAGCTCTTCTTCACCCTGCCACCATGCACTGCCTGACTTTGGGCGTGTCGCTGAGCTCTCTCTGAGCCTCAGTGTACTCTCGATGATAACTGCCATATGTTCTTCCCATGCCTGTCGTGACAATGATATTAAAAATGCCACATAGTGAGCCTCATCATCCATGCCTCTAGAGTCGCTGTGCTGAGAGGCACTCGGACTAGACTCTTCTCTGTTCCTCAAGAGCTAAGTCCTGAGGAGAAACCCGGTGGACCCCACTTAAAACGCCCCTTCTCCGTTTGCCACGCCCTCCCCCGCAGCCGAGCCCCAGGCTTTCCCTGGCTAACTCATGCTCCTCACATCCTGGTCCCACTAATGAGGATTTTTAGGCTGGTTACTTTTAAAACTGCAGATGAGAAGGGGGCTGGTTACTTTTAATAAAAGCAACTCTGAGGAGCGGAGTTGGCTTGCCCTTTGTTGGGAAACATTTACATTTGTAAGAGAAGTCTCCATCTGTAAAGATGCCTCCTTGCTGTGCCAGGAAGAAGGCGGATGACCTTATCTCCAGAAACTCTTAATCAATGCCAAAGGCAAGAACTTAAGTTGTTTACTATCTGGCAACCTCATGTAACTGACCCCCCCCACCCCCCTCACCCTCCCCCCTCACATCCTCCTTTGTCTTGAGCTGAAGATAATATTTAAGGTGGCTTCTGCCATTTACTCAGTCTGGTTTGCTTCTTATCTAAAAGTTATAGGCCCACCCAATAACCAGAACCTACCGGCACTGATACCATTTTAACAACTCTTTTTACATATTCTTTCCTTTGTCTTGTAAAGAGATAACTCACGTACCTATGCCTTAAATTTAGCCTTACTCTCCACCCATCTGTGCGGCAGCAGCAGCAGCTCCTCCTGCCCGTGGGTCCTGTCCCCATGCTATTCCACACTATTCTCTAAATAAACGAGCACTACTGCCAGACCTTGAGAGTCCAAGAAATCTTTCTTTTGACTCCTTGGCTCACCGACCCCGCATCGCTACTAGACATGTCACTTCCTCTTGGAAACTTCTCTGGCCACACCCAGCCTGACCTCCTGAAGAGGTCACGCAGCATCCTAGCCTAGCCACCAGACTGGGATGTAAGTGTCTATCAGTCTCATCCACCCAACTCTCAGCTCTGTGAGGGCCAGGAACACACCTGCCTTGTTCAACATCGTGTGCTCAGACCCTGGGTGAGCGGCTGGCACGTAGAAAGTGCAGATGATACACAGATAGACCTACTTGTCCAGCCGCCATCACCGGGCTGTGACAGGGACTGAGAGTCTTTCAGCAAGCTACTTCATGCCTCTCGGCTTCAATTACCTCATCTGTAAAAAGCATAGTCTAAACTAGATGCTGTCTACCATTCTTTCCTGCACAATAGTCTATAATTCTGAGATTCTAAATAAGGTAATGCACTGAAAGAACGTGGAAAACAGTCGCACTTCAGCCAACATAAGGAGTATGTTTAACGTCGCTGTGATTGTTCCAGATGGTCTTTCCCGCCAGCTCGCCCTCAGAGAAAGACAGCCTTCCTTGTCCAGCTGAAAGGCTGGCCTTGCCCACGGCTGCCGGTGAATCCACAGTGGCTCTGCAGTGGGGCACCTACGAGTCCACCCTCTCCTTTCCACCCTTCTCAGAGGGGCCTTCAGAAATTTGTGACCACGCCTTCTGTTGCTGGTATCTAAATATTGCCTAAACTGAGTGG